CCGTCCGTATCAATCATAAACAAGTGGCCCAGAGGGCCTGTATCGCTCACCAGGGTAATAAAGCAACTATGGGAAATTATTTTGTTACATAAAATCCCACCAATGGAACAGCAGAAGAAAGATTTTAAGGACTTAAACCATCTAATTTCCCTATTTGGCGCCACAACTCTCAGTCCCCAGGGGGGGTCAAAACCCAGCGTTTATACAAAATTAAGTCTCCTTGGCCCAAGGATGCACCAGACTAAATCAGGACAAAAACCCTTAATCCATACGGAAGAAGAATATTAAAGGTTTTACCTCTATTTCCCCTATTCGGCCCCGCTCCTCTGTCCCCAGGGGGCGGGCCACACTCACCGTTTATATAAAATTGAGTCCCTTTAGCCCAAGGATGCTCCAGACCAAAAGTCAAAATTATATCTACTTGCCGTTGAAGACTAGAAGCGTTTTAAAGGAAAAGCTGACGGACGGACGAACGGACGGACGACGGGCGCTGCGGTATGGCATACGGATCTTACTATTGCAGTAGTGCTGTCCTCCACTTAACGCTTGGTACCCTTGTGGAATTTGGTACATGACAACAAAATATGTGATGAATAATGGATCTTCAAAACATTGTGTTCCCATGCATTGCTATTACTTCGAGTCGTTTTTTTGGCTGTCAATATGTTATAACTTTGACATATGTGCTAAATATTTGTTTAGAAAAACTAATATGATAGCCGAGTAGGCTACGGGACTCCATGGACCTGGTGAATTATTACGTCTATATGATTAAATGTCAACTTCCTTTGATACAAGATACAAGAAGCTTTATTTAGAGTCGCATACATATCAACATGGAACATTAGCTCTTGAGAGCTATTATTGCGACAAACACAAGTATATAAAATAACAATAACATAATGTAATAGTATTACATATGTAGTAGTAATGAGTTAATATAAATAGCATAGCAGTCATTTTTTTCATGACAGAAAAATACACGGTAATATCACATGTAAGTTAGAATCAATTGCACATTATTTTTAATATTATCACAAGGCTTGACACTTATTTATATTATGTATTTTTATATAAAATTCAGAGGTTTGACACATATTTCTGAACGATGTTTTTCTACACTGAATTTTAAAATACTATCTGTCATCTTTACAAGTGTATTATACATACATGCTAATATAGCAAAGGGTAAAAATTGACATGATATACACTAACATAGTGTGGATTAAAAAAAAACACCAAGCATTTCATGTAGTAAAGAAGAATAAGATTAAGAGAGAAAACTAATAATCACATAAGTAGAAAAATTTGATTCAATACATAAAATATTATATTAATCCCAGCAATTTATATCAGTATATTTACCTAAAAATGCTAAACCTGATTTTAACACTAAAATGGTTAAAAGTCAGTCAGCAGAGGTGCGACAGATTGAACAGCTACAGATGGGTCCACTCCAGGTGTGGATCATTCTCCTACAACCCGGAAAGTTGTCTACCTACGACTATGCAAACTTTGGTAGGATTTCAATTGGCAAGAAGCTTATCTTGATGGATGTTTTGGTTTCCTACGCAAAATGATTGTTTTAGTCAACGCTACCTTTGACCTTCTGAATCATGTACAATATGTCGATTTGTAAAATGTACTTGGACATGTCTCTTCCCACGAAAATTTTAAAAAGCAAAATTCAGCCTATGGCTATCCTTCACCGGCTGTCAGAATGCACTCTTTAGGTTCTTGCATTTCACATGTTATATTTTTGAAAGGTCTTCACCCTTCCGGGTTCGGTGGCCTATCCTTTTGCAGGTAAAGTTACATACAACTGCATGTATTTAGTATTTGGTCAAGAAACTGTTTTTATAGGTATTTTGATTCAGACCGTGATCAATGTCTTGCTTCCATTCAAGCTATTGGTGTTGTCCTTCCTTATTCTTGAAAATCAATTCACTTCCTCAAGGTTTTTCTCCCTAAAGACTTGTACATACTCCCTCCCAAGCCCTAGCCATTATCCCCTACCACTACAATACAACTTTTTGGGTTGAGGCTTTTAAGTTTCAAAAGTTTTTAATTAACAATGTTATTGTTATGCATCGTACTGTTTTAAAGACAAGGAAGTCATAAATACATGTGTATATATTTACATGTGATTTACATTGTATAAATGCATTTGTACTTGATTGTGAACTTACGTATGTTTTGAGGATGCTGGGTTTACATTAAAACCTGAAATTATATTCCGTCTGACTTGCATTATTTTGTAGCGAAATGAATTTAAATAACAGGATTTTAGTTAAACAACGCGTTATTTGGTCCAATTACCGCGATGCGTTTGTCTACATATGTGATGGCTGTGATATTTAGTCAATTTGGACGAGCTAGTTATTCCAATGAACAACGTATAAGGTCCTAAAAATGTACAAACATGAATTTTAGTCCAATGATCACTCTATAGGATAGAATATTAGTCTAAAAAAACCACTATGCTCAATGTATATCTAATGCAACGGTTAAGTCCAATTTACACACAGAGAATTTGGTACACGTGACTGTTTTTTTATCTGATATACACAACACTTTTATTAAAACGTTTCACTGAACGCGATACATTGGATCTAGTTTTTGGTTTGGTTCATTGGTTTTAATAGCGTCCTATGAACAGCAAAGGTCATATACAGCGAATCGGATTTAATTGTCTTCCAAATTCCAAATGTCGTTTCTATTTATTTGCTGAAAAATCCATTGGCAATCTAGGACATGCCCAATATTATTTTCTACCTTAATTATCTCGAGCGATCGACTTATTATGTCGAGCGCTCGACATATTATCTCGAGCACTTGCTATATTATCTCGAGCGCTCGACACATTAACTCCAGCGCTCAGCGTATTATTTCGGGCGCTTTACTTAGACTTTACGTATGAATCGCTTCATACTAATATTGTATTAAAATCGTGATAGCAGAAAAGATGTACGGAATCGTAAATAGACCTCTCCTTGTTGTACATTATTCGACATAGCTTATGTCGACTTAACTACAAATTACTAGACACATAAACTTGTTATGTACAATGTTGATAAGTTGGATGGCGCGATAATAAGTCGAGCGCTGGAGATAATAAGTCGAGCGCTCGAGAAGTTATGCCCAGCACACGAGATAATATGTCGAGAGCTCTAGATAATTAATGTAGAAAATATTATTGTCCTAAATGAACTTCCGTAGAAAACAAAACAAAACAAGTGAAAACATTGGATGTGCCTTCATGTTTCAAAGGAATCCTAAATTTGCACCGGTTCTCGCGTTAGTTGTTCTTTCAAAATGTTCTTTTTTCAGTCTCCAACCTGCAGGCGTAATCTTGTCTTTGGTATCACTTTTTTTTATTCAAATGGAAACGATAATTAGTATCATATATAGACAAAACTATGACGTATGAACATGATATAGAATCTTATGGATATCGTCGGTTGTTTGACATGGTACCGTATTAATTTAATAATTATTGACGCTATTACCGAAAGTAGTATCTAATATAAAATACTCAGTTTTGTGAATGAAATTGTTTTAAAATACTGCATAGAACCAAAGCATTTTATCGTCGTTTTGAAGGTTAAAAAGAATAACATTACATTATCCGAAATAATTAACTATCGAATAATTAATAAATAGATAAATAAATGGAGACAGTCAATTATTGAGGACTTTACATAACATTGCATGCTGTGATAATGAACGATTGCACTAAATGTTTTTGGTTTAATTTTGTTTTACGTCCTATTAACACATGCTCTTGAGATGCAAATGATGTTCCTGAGTTCTATATGTTAATGCGTCATACATTTCATTGTCAACTGTCGGGTCACTCTGTTGAGACCAGTAAACAGTAAAAACAGCATTATAACGTTTTAATTTGTGGTTAATGCTATGCCGAGACTCAATGAAAATGACCGCCTCCGGATTATTGGAATACTTCATGTCCATCGAAACACAATCCGGGATTCGACGACATCAACAGTTTGGCCACGTCGGCGATCGACATCGTGCGGGACTTCCACGTGTGACGTCACGTCAACAGGACAACCATATTCGGCTTGTCCATTTAAGAAATCGCTTCCAAACGAAAAATTTGACTGCACGGACAATCCCTGGGTTGCTACCAATAAGCCCGAGAACTGTACGGAACCGATTGCGTGAAAGAGCTATCCGTCCGCGACGTCCTGCAATCCGCCCAGTTCTTCTGCCACGTGATCGTGTAGCACGTCTGGACTGGTGCAGAAGGTATCTGCGATTTACTCGACGGGATTGGGCAGGCATTTTGTTTACGGACGAGTCGCGAGACCACCTGGATAGTAGTGACGGCCGTTCCAGAGTGTATCGTCGCGTAAGAGAACGTTTCCGTGACGCGTGCGTGGTACAACGACGTTCTTTCGGCGGAGGTAGCGTTATGAATTGAGGCAGCATCACAGCCAACGGGAGAACGCCTCAGATGGTTGTTAACGGGAATTTGAACTCGCTACGTTACCTTGACGAGATCATCCGGACCCACGTCGTTCCATTCGTGCAAGGGCAGCAACGTCACATTACGCTACAGCAGGACAACGCCAGGCCACATACAGCTCGTGTCACTATTGACTTCCTGGCCCAGCAGAACGTTGACGTGTTGCCCTAGCCTGCTGTATCCCCCGATCTGTCGCGCATTGAACACGTCTGGGATGAAATGAAGCGCAGATTACGGGCATTACCTAATCAACCTTTTTTCCTCTAGTATAGTTTTGGGAACCATAGCTCAAAGTTATGATCGATTTTATTTGATTATTTTGAAATATTATCGTGCGAGATATTAATTATAAAATTTGATTCTAAAATATAAAATACGATCAGATCTTTGAGCTACGGTGCCATCAAATCGATTAGGCATACTTATTATCCTGATTAACTCAGACACGACTGTTCGTGGACAGCATGTCTACACTTATACATTTCTGAACAAATAACATATTGCATGGTGAAAGTAAATGACTTTTTAATAATATTTCTCATTTCGTTAACCTCGTATGACACGTTCGGTACACATTGTTCGTTAAATTAAAGTACTGAATATCCTCCAGACACATGCTTTGAAGTTGTAATATTTCCATAGTTATATAACATTTTAGGAAAAAAAGAACACAATACAGTCAGTTGAGATGCAGGATAAACACCATTTCAATTTGTTTAGACAGATGTGAACGGATACTAATTCTTATTTAATGTCTATGTTGGCAATAGCCTGAAATGTATTTTCCCTCCGAAGACCAACCACAAGTACTGCCTTAAATAAAGAGTATTCTTCCGAACGCATAATTATATGACTGTTGCAATATCTCCTTCGTGCCTATTGGTAGAGGATGAAACATATATTTCCTACAGACCAGCAGCAGTGCACATGTCACAAATGTCATTAGGTCAACTAGGATTTGGCCATGCGTCATATGTCAGTATACACTTCTTTGTATGCTTATGTTAATGGTAACAGTATGAAACTTAAATCAATTCCCCATAACAAACAAAGAAGAATAAAAAGTTTAATTATTTGTATTATTTATTAGCTAAAGTGTAATCGCTGTATTCCCCAATCGGAGCACACATTTCAATCAATGCTCTGATGATACAAAAGTTCAACAGGAGACATGGTAATTTCACTGATTGGTGTATTCAATCAGCGTCACCAGGATACTTAATTTCAGATATACATGTATTACAACAAGGCAAAATATTGCAAGGCAATCCATTGTCCCCCACCGGTAACGATTTTTATATTTCACAAACAGTACACTTATGTCAGGAAGCATAGGTCACAGTGACGTAATAGTGACCTAATCATTATACTTTGCACTCTATCTTCACAAGATGTCCTTGTACCCTAAATCTGGTTACTCCAGGTGCAAGAGTACAGAAGATATGCCTCGACAATCGTTTTCAAACGTGAAGGTCAAAGGCCAAGTCATAGGTCACAGTGACCTTCTTCTTGCAGTTTGCACTCCGACCTCACAAGATGTCTTTGTACACAAAAGCTAGATACTTCAGGTGAAATAGTAAAGAAGATATGGCCCGTACAAACTTTAGAAGGATTTATATAAGTACACAGTACTTATGTCCTTATCATGTTTGCTAACGTGATTTGTTTTATTCATGTTATGTATTTCATTACTTGAATAAATACAGTTCAAACAAAAGACTGGAGTAGAGATATATATATTGGTTTAAAGGGTTACATGAATAGATACCCGGAAGAAAAATCTTTTAAAATGCAATAGCTTCTTTTCGGATACCCTATTTCTAAATATGTATACACAGCTTAAGTGTTGGCTGGATAATTATATGTTTTAATTACATTTATCATAACACTTCAAAAGCAACCACCACGAAAGTAAATTACAAATAAGTAAGATTACAATATAAAAAGTATAAATGAGTACGTAAATATTAAAAAAATTAAAAAAGGCGTTGAAATCAAAACAATAACGAAATATGAATACATGTCTGCATCGAATTGCCATTCACTTGAAAATATTAGGGTTTTAGCGACATTACATTGACATAGTCCTCTTTCAAGAAAGATTTTGATTTTTAAAGAAATATCGTGGAGGTGACCTGATGCATTTTGTTCGATCAATAAGACATGCACACGTCAAAAGTTTTCAAAAGTATCTTCGGTAAAGCAATTTTAATTAAGTCTTGATTAATTCCGCAATAATAATAATTTCACTACGGGTATCAAGCGAAGTTGAATAGTGTAGTGCAATTATGTACACCAACATCAATGTTTGCTTTCATGAATGGTTGCTATGGTGTCATTGGTTTTTATTGTATGTGAATTATGTCAACTTAAACACTTTTACTGTTCGTTTATCTTCCTCAGATAATGTGTTTTTATGCTGCGAAACGCAGACGACATTCTGTCTTGCAGATATACCAAGTTTCCAAGGAAACACCACACTGCCCTTGTTGAATGTGTTCAGGTTGTCTCTGTTAAATGACAGAGTGAATATTTCGCCCGAGTTCCATGACATTACCATAAGTTGCGTACCCATGATAGAAATTCCAGAGCAGACGCTGAGTCTTGCATCGACGACCTTCCATAGGGTTAACCCGTCAAAATCTACGCATCTAACATGCGGATCGGCAAAGGTTTGGTCTGTTATAAAAACCTTCTTCTCCGATGACGTCAGAGTTATATAAGTGAATTTAGTTGTTTCGTATGATTCCTCTAAGACAACCATCCACACTTCGCCATCTGTTTCAAAAATGTGTATGTCAGAATCGGAGCATACAGCCACATGCCTGCTATCGGAGGCAACCGCCTTGAATCTTATGTTACTCTTCAATCTTTTTCCTACTTCAACGAACCCATCGTGCAGCACTTTACACTTCACGAGTTCTCGCGTGTCTGGAATCGATACCATCATGTGATCTTGACTCGTTGAAATTGGTGCTACGTCATAAGGTGCTGGATGGATGTTTGTTTTACACTGAAAATCGAGGGAAAGGCTAAATACAAACACAGCCTCATTAGTATGGTCAATAAGAAGTATTTTCCCCGACGGTAAAATTGTTATCCCAGTGATCCATGACGGTTTTCCTTGGTGTGCAAGTTTTATGTTTTGCATTTGACTCACCTGTGACTGTTGGATATTTGTTTGATCTAAACCTTCATTCCTCTCTTCTGATGCATTTTTCCCTATTTCGTTATGTTTATCTATCAGTTCATTTGATCTTTTTCTCATTGATATCATTTCATCTCTTACTTGTTGTTCTGTTTGACAAAGAAACTCCAAAGCATTGTGTCTTTTGTCAATCACTTGTTCAATTGAGCTACATTGCTCCAAAAGAAGATTGGTATGTTCATTTTCGCTCTGTTTTTTGGCGGATTTGTTTGATTTTGATTCTCCGGCTTGTTTAACATTACAACGTGCCTCTTCACGCGTTGTGACGTCATTGCAACGGCGATGTTGAGGGAAACACAAGGAACAGATGTACTGTGTATGATCAACACAGAAAAACTCGAGATCCTTTTCCAGATGCAGTGTGCAGGTTTCCATAGTTTTGCCTTTTGATGTTTTATATCCATCGATCAATGTAATAACCGCGTGGTTATTTTCAAGTTGACTTGCCCATACTTCCGGGTTGTGTTTGATCCGCGCAGGTACAGAAACGTGACGCCGGCACACTGGGCATGGATATCCTTTTCTTTCCCGATGCTGAGCATTCATCTGTATTATATATTTATTTATACATTTCTTACAAAATGTATGCAGACATGGGAGCGCTTTTGGTTCTGAAAAAATCTCAAAACAAATCGAACATATGATTTGGTCCTTTGCAGTCTTTATAAAAGCTGTTGCCATGGTAACGTTGGTGTAATCTTCGTGATCTGAAAATAATTATACATTGATTAGTCCTGATGTTGTATTTGAGAATGCCAGATGTTTTCAGTGGTATTAATATTTATGAGAAATTGTGCAATAACATCGATTATCATATCCGCATTAACCACTTCCAAATAATTAAAGTCCTGGGTCAGATGGTTTTACAGCTGATTTTTTTTGTATGTTTCTGGGGGAAATTAAGTAATTTTATAGTAAGGTATATAAATTACGGATTCATGAATGGAAAATTATCTATAACTCAAAGACAGGGTATAATTTATAAATATATTTATAAAAAAATAGAGGCCAATTTCATTACTAAAATATAGTATATAAAATAGCATCTGATTCAATAGCAAGTAGATTTAAAACAAGTTTTAGATCAATAATAAATATGGATGTGACGGGTTTTATTGCAGAGAGGTATATAGGGGGAAATGCAAGGCTAATTTATGATATAATGCAGTATGCAGAAGTTTGTTTGTTTGTTTATGTTTTACGTCCTATTTACATGGTCATTTAAGGACGTGTAAGGTTTTGATGGTGGAGAAAAGCCGGATCCCCGGAGAAAAACCACCGACCAACGGCCAATACCTGTCGACCGCCCCACGTAGGTCTCGAACCTGCGACCCATAGGTGGGGGCTAAAATTATTCTGTATCTTACAACCAGCAATTACATTAGTACTTTTATTGCAATTAGTTTACATTTCAGCTATGTTGCCTGCAGTATTTCAATTCCTTATTAAAAGAGATACGTTTCAAAATTATTAGAAAACAATTATTTTTCTGAATTGGTATTCAATTTGGTGTAATAATTATGAGAATGCAAAAAATGTCAAAGCAAAAAAAAAAAAAACATGTGTGAAAATAAAGAATGTGTCACTGAATTATAATGTGTTTTGTTTTAATGTCCTATTGAGAAACTGCATAGTCCTTCATCCAAACATGTTACTGGCTTAATATCAACATCCTGTGACTCATGGTTATTCAGAAGAAGTCGTTTAAAGATTTTGAACATATTTGACCCTTGTGACCTTGAATAAATGTCAAAGTCATTTATTTGAACAAACTTGATAGCCCTTCATTCCATCATGTTATAGGCCAAATATCATCATCCTGCACCTTTTGATTATTCAGAAGTGGTGATATTTGACCCCTGTGACCTTGAATATAGGTGAAGGTCATTCATTTGAACAAACTTGGAAGCCCTTTATCCTGACATGCTTCTGGCCAAATATCATCACCCTGGGCATTTTGGCTATTCAGAAGAATTTGTTTAAAGGTGGTTTTTTAAACAATTAACCCCTGTGACCTTGATTATGGGTGAAGGTAATTCATTTGAACAAACTTGGTAGCCCTTCATCCTAGCATGCTTCTGGCCAAATACCATCACCCTGGGCATTTTTACTTCTGGCCAAATGTTCAAACGAGACTTGAACGTAATTGAAACCTCAAAAGAGGATATCCTTAATTTCGAAGGGACTTATACGTTTGCCTCTATAAAAAAAATCCAAGACTTCATCCCATTTCTTTCTGGCAATGACTTTTCAAGTATTTTAGCATAGAACATTGTAAATATCTTTCGTTTCGTTTCTGTGTTTGAGAAAAAATCCTTAATTAGTTCGAATATATGTATATTCTACATTCATATTAGAAACATCCTGAAAATCAATCAGTAAGAAAATGTGTATGTATGTCAAGTTTCTGTTTTAATTATTGATGTAAAATTTCTTTAATAAAATTATAACCTCTGTTACTCTTTTCCTAAACCATACTATATACACTATAGTCTTGCTTTTGAGAATATTATTTCCAGTATGTTCAACCTCTTTGGGTAATTTACATCAACATAATAACACATTTATCCAAAATAGTTTTTACAAATCTTCAGGCATTTTAACATGTAGTTAATACATGTACTAAAATAGCTTTAATATCTCTATTTTATAAACGTGCCACTTTCCTTCTCATGTATATAGTCGCTGCATTTTATTATTTTTTTTTCGCCCTACGTAATACAATGTAAGGGCGAATTTATCTTTACAGCGAATATTAGTATATAGCACAAATAATGTAGAGGGCGAAAATAACACGAATATGGATATTACTGGTAAAAACAATAGTTTAACCGAAAACCTTCCCATGATAAACTATTGATTTTCAAAAAACAATGTTTTTTTAACTCAACAAACTTAAATGATATAGAAGATGAGGAATTATCAGTTCGATAGCTACATTTGTATATATTTCTTACCAAATTGTCAGATATTAAAAAGAAATCAAGACGAGCCTGTTTTACAGAATAATTTCTTCTCCATGCATACCTTTTTGTGGGAGTTGGTCTCTATAAATGTCTACCATATTAAGTTTTTCCATCTTGAACCAAGTTATCACAAGTGTTAGGGTTACTTATTTGTTTACAATTTGATCACAATCTAAATCCGGATAAGTTACTTTCACCACACAGAATGTAGTATTCATTGTTATACTTATTCATAGCATCTAGTATTTGATCTTAAAAAGGATAGCCTATCCATACCGAATATATGATNAACTACAATGGTTTCAGTACAGGATCAATCATCACATTCTAACTACTAACTCTCTTGTATTTAAAATGGGATTAGTTGAAAATTCATTTTGCTCTTTCTGTAAAACACATCGGGAAACTATTGAACACATTCTATGGGACTGCCAAGAAGTTAAAAGATTGCTTCATAATTTTGAGAGGTTAACCCAAATTTTTCATATCAACTACTCATTGAATAAAAAACAATTTATTTTTGGTATAATTTGTGCAGACGAACCAGATGCGGAAGTTGACAATTTAATAAACTTGGTAATTAAATATTATATTTATAAAACAAAATGTTTTAAAAATAAACTATCTATATTAGCACTTCTCAATGTAATTAAGGAAACATACAAAGTACAAAAACACATTTCAAATAGTAAATATGAGTCAGATAGGTTTATAGGATATTGGAGAAAATGGTCCCCATTGATGGGGACACCCTGACAATATGCCATATTATATGCATAATAACAGGTTTTTTTGTTTTTTTTATTCATAAGTATGTTTTGTACAAAATCAAATATCTATAGAGACCATTTCTTTCCTTAATCTTCTTTATTACACAACCGGAGAATAGACAATTTTTGCACATAATTTATACTTATTTATGTTAGTGTTGTCGCATGTTTTCAAATGTATGTTTGTGTGCAAATTTGTTTGTTTATGTCATAATTTTTGTGTAGATGAATGTATATATATGTGTGTGTGTATGTTTGTATACATGTTATTACATGTACATGTAGTGTGTAAGGAAGTGTTCGTCCTTTATGTTAGGTTCAAATGTTTTAGTATCTCAACTAAATTTACTAAATTTATGAAATATGATGAAAGAAAGTGACAGAAAGATGAATGTTGAACGAAAACCCTCCTATGAGAGGACAATACATTGTAAAGGGGGAAGATCCCAGAGCTCCTCAACCCTGGCTTCCTCCGTAAACACTTGCCGAGGAAATAAAATATTTGAACCTGAAAAAAAAAAAAAAACACAACAACATTCACATGGCAGTGTCCTACCTATCAAGCTGTAGCAGTGATTTCTGTCACCACCTACGCTAGGACTAACATTCACATGTCAGTGTCCTATCTACAAAGCTGAAGCAGTGATTTCTGTCACCACCTACGCTAGGACTAACATTCACATGTCAGTGTCCTATCTACCAAGCTGTAGCAGTGATTTCTGTCACCACCTACGCTAGGACTAACATTNACAAAACATTCAGATACTGTATTTAACTAGTGTTTTAGCATGGCAGGAACATCATATTACAAAACATTCAGATACTGTATTGAACTAGTGTTTTAGCATGGCAGTAACATCGTATTACAAAACATTCAGATACTGTATTTAACTAGTGTTTTAGCATGGCAGTAACATCGTATTACAAAACATTCAGATACTGTATTTAACTAGTGTTTTAGCATGGCAGTAACATCGTATTACAAAACATGCAGATACTGTATTTAACTAGTGTTTTAGCATGGCAGTAACATCGTATTACAAAGAATAGTATGTTACCGCCAAAATATGTTGTAATTTAAAAAAAAGATACATGTTAAGATCTATTTGGTTTGGTAATACTGCAATAAAGTGAGTGTGAAAACATAATTTGAATGTCATTTAGGTTATAAATATTGCAGTATACTAGTTTATTGGTAATATCAACAAATGTATGAAAAAGAAAGGATACAAACCTGCGTGTATAAAATGTTATCTTCGACATCAATAATTAATTTGCATCTATATGGATGAAAATCCCATCTCGTGCATTCAGGTAACTGACGAAGCTCAATCAACGTGTGCATTATATATAATTGTTTCACAATATATATGTGAATAAATATACAGATGACACATTCAGTTTGTTTTGTTCAAATATTGTAATGATATTCAAATTCAAAGTTCAAGGTACCTCTTCTGCACGGAAGGATATGAATAAAGTGTTAAAGATTGTCACACAAAAGTTAATTAAACATGGATACACGTTGTCTGAAGCATGTATTGTGTGTTGTCGTGATGGCAACGTTAACGTCAATTCTAAGTCCAAATATCGCTTTGGGAAATTTGATAAAAATAAACATATAAACATAGAGAGAATGAAGGGAAAGAAGCCTCCTGTGTGCGACTATATTACGAAGAGGGATGAACACGGAGCACCCCAACCCTGGCATCCGTAACAAAAGGCGATCTAGATAATCTAATTATATACATTAGGCTGTGCATTTTCGCGCGCAAACATTTGTCATGTGATGCCTGTATGTCTTCATTTCACACCAAGCTGCGTATTTGTTTTATCATTTTTATTTGTCTTTGGAAAGATGCCTTACTTTGTGTATCAAACCCAGGATATTTGGAAACAGGTTTTCATTGTCATTTGTCGTTTGATTGACAGACGTAACACTATTAACACTGACGCCATGCTTTATACCAGATGTTTGTTTCAATCAATCACAACCTCCAATCTATCGACATCGCTCATACACACATGCAATCGATATTTGACAAATTTACAAACACAATTTATCTCACCTTCGCGGTAAGGTCGTTTTTCTGACCTTCGGCCTGATAGATTTGATATAGTTGTAGAACTGAGATAGAAGCCGATTTGTTTTGTCCGTTAGCAAACCTTCAATCATTGTAATTGTGGGTACTGGAACCCAGTCTCGCGGATTGTTTGCATACAATTGCCGGGGAGGTTTTTTGATGAACACTTGTGGTCTTTTGGAATATAAATCATGCATGAGCATGGTCTATAATCCAATACATTATTATTAACTGATTGAAAGTGTCGTTATATCATAAACGTTGGTAAAATCCAATCAATCATTTTTTTATTTTCATTCACACGGATATTTTTAAATGAATTTAATCATTTTCATATCAGCGTTGCTTTGAATTCCTTCGAAAACGCCCAAGCACACAATGTATTATTTCTACAATTATTTTCATAATAATTATAATCGTTAATATTTCAATTTTATTATCGTAGCTTCTTTTTCTTTTGCTTCAACCTACGATGTTTACAGACTGCAGTTTGTTCAGTATTCGAGCGCTTGCCGCAACTATCATGACTTCGATCATAACATTCATACCATACAACAAAATCGAGGAAAACCGCTTAAGCAGAAGATTCTACAGTGTCGTTAATTTCACGCTCGCCCAGGAGGTGAGTATATATGATCGACCGGGTCGATATGTGTTTAGTTTTTGTTATATCGTCGTTATATATGGATGAGAAATAAAAGGAGGTGGTTAGGTTTTTCTCACCAGTCCTAACACGCTGGTCAATAAATCCAGCCACATATGAAAGCTAACAAGGGGGACACTGTGTGTTCCCAAAGAAATGTGTAGTCTGCTTGCCACCGAACCCAACAAAGGTGTTGTCAACAAGGAACTCAGTAATTATTACAATTTCCACCTCAGTACAGTTTAATTTTTACGTTTGTTGTACTTTTAACAGAACATGCGCCAAATCAATTTACAGCACCTGTTAAATTTGAAAAGAAACCTCTTCTAATGAAAGAACGAAGGCCTTCCGTCGGTTTGGAATGAGATATGATAGTGTAAAATGTCGAAAAGTCAAAACGTTTGGCAGAAGAAACGTTTTTGACGAGAGAGTGTCACCTAGAAGAGGCAGCAATAACTCGCTGATAACAAGGGACCTTGTGAAGTTTCTGAATCCTATACACACGAGGAATCATTTAACGGTATTCGGAAAGATTGTGAAACAGAAGCGTGATAAGCTAATATTTCGTCTTTAGAAAATTGGAAAATGTATAGGTATGATTTCGATTGTTATCAAACAAGCCTGGTTCATTTTTCAATCAGGCAAAGTAACCATATACCTATCATGTAGATCATTGATTGTGTTTTGGAATATTGGGGAAAAATGGGAAAGAATGTAGAGAGCTTTTCTCGGCTTGACGAAAAGTGCCCTATATCATATCAAGTAGAACAGTTTCAAAATATATTTATAGCTTGTATCGATCATAGATGTATAGGATATTTAGATATCTGAAACATTGTCAACGCGAAAATTTCCACACCGCTTTCTGTTTGAAGAGTTATAACACGAACATTATGAAGTCATAACCATAACGTTGGATAAAGATGACAGATATTTGTTGTTGGCGGTTCTATTTATTGAAAATAAACCTTAGATTTTATCTTTAAAAATGATATGAAATTTAAAATTAATTTATTTTCAAAATTAATTGAAAATACAAAATTATAAAAGAATTAATTTCTTACCAGTCAGAGTAAACTACTGTACAGAATTGCAGACAAATATTTATAAAGCACTAACACGCTTTATTCGATTTGTCCGCAGTATTATGAACTACAGAGACATATACTATGAATATGTTTACGGGCCTCTCTGAAAGTAACTACACGATTGTATAACGTCACACGGAGATGTTTATGTATCTTGTTCCGGTTTTTGCATATACAATGTTTTCACCGCTTGACAAGACACGCACTCAAGTTGAGAAAACGTCAATCTTTTAATACATGGTCGCATCAAGTCTGCATTTTACATATTAAGTGTCTTCCTAGCATGTCGAGAACACACATTACAGATCAGAAACGTCATTTTTTAAGATTGATGTGCAAGTGCATTATAATATTTACTCCATAAATGTCTCCTCAAGGTGACAAGAACACACAATTCAGTGTTAAAACGTCGGGTTTCATTGACAGAACTAATAACTCGTGATCAGTATGCAAATAGAATTACAAATCGTCTCGCTAATACCTCGCAAGTTGTCGAGGTCACAGGGTATGCAGACAGTTCTCGACTACAATTGGATAAACATACTTATGATTGCCATCATTGAATTTTGCTCTTTTAATTTTTTCACAAACATGTTGAATTCGAGATTGCTACTGGGTTTTTCCGCTTCCGATTTCATCAGCAAGTCGGTAAGTTAGTCGTTTCCCATGTGGATATGAACACATTTCCCTGGATGTAGTTTTAACAACCATCTATCACACAATTTGTCTATTCTATAGAGATCTTCCTGAAGACGCGTTTGAACAGCTTATTAAGTGATAACTTTGAATATTTTTGTGTCATAGATCTGCGAACAAGTACGTCTCCTAATCGAGAGTATCAGGTTGGTCATAAATGTAACAATATGGGGCCTATCACAGATGCCTGTGGAACTCCTGATATGACATGTTTCCGTTCCGAATAATTTCAGTTAATAACGACGTATTGTTTTCTGTCTTTTAAGAAATCCTTCATCCATCTTACAACTGTATGATGGATTCAGTAAGCTATAAACTTTTGAACAATTCTCTTGTGTGGTACGGTATCAAGCGCCTTTTGAAATTGTATGTAGATACAATCGATAGGGTTTGCTTCGTTAATTACGGTGGTCTATTTATCAAGAACATAAAAAGATATAAATCCATATCGTTTATTGCTTAAAGGCGATGATTAACTAAATGATTGCTTACCAGTGTCTCCATTGTTTTGCACACAATTGAAGTGAGACTGACGGGCCAGTAATTTTTAGTGACACCCCTGCAGGTTGGGGATCGAAAACAAAATATATCGTAGGAGGCGACTAATGCGTTACACGGTTACCCCTGCAGAATTGGTGATTTTCTTCTGTATCCTCTATTTGGGGACACAAAACCTACCAATATAAAATAAAATATCTGCTGCACCAATTGATATTTGTGATCTTTATCTTGTAACAAACTTTTACTCCCTAGCGCCTTGGCTTAATGTTGGGCGTTCGCCCAGGTGAGGAAGGCAATGGGTTATATGTCCCCAGGCCGGGACATACCAAAGTCCTTAAAAATGGTAATTGTTATTCCCTGCTTAACGTTCAGCATTTAAGGGAATGTCAGTATAATGTGACCGGGCGAAATGCTGTGCTGGGTGCCTTTGGCATGGCATTTTAGTGAGATAATGTCGGCATCAGATCTGCGCTATTACAAGGAGGCAAGCACAACAACATACCCGGTCTCTTGCACACACAAAGGCAAGCAACCATATACTACACACACGGAGACACGTCCTTAAATGACCTTCGCTCTCAAAAGAACGTTAAACAAAAAAAAAATCAAACCAATTTCCAGGGAGCGTCTTGTTAACTTTCTTGTAGATTGTACAAACATGAGGCTCCTACAGACTGTTGGTACCATCCCAGTTTCTATTGACTTATTGTATAGTAGTGTCAAAGGCTCTGCTAGTATATTGGTCAGCTCCTTGAAAAGTTTTGGATGTATTTCGTCTGGACCCGGATATGTATTGACTTGCGCGTTTTAATGCAAGAAGCGGCTAGAGAGAATAGTCACACCTCTTGCTAATGGGGTTATAGACTGGAGTTTACAGATTGCTAAAGGGCAAAACTTGTCTTCGCTGGATCATTTTGTTTTTGGCTGTGTACAATATTTTTTTCCCTATCAACATGGTACCGAACCAACATGATAGAGAGGCAGTGACAATCCGCACGTCCTGGATTTAATATTAACAAATGAAGAAAATATTATAGGCAATATTAGATATATCAATTAGAGAAAAACGACACTGTGTATTTTTATCTAATTGTAAATAGTAAAATGTGTCGGGAAGGAGATGACAAGCGTGAATTAACAAATATAGAAACGAACGAAGCACTTCTAAGCTCTGTTATTTCAATTATAACAAAAAAATATTCTTGAGAAACTGTTTTGATAAAGATTTCTTTTCTGACAAATATTTGGCTATATAAGAGTGGTAGGCCTTTACCTGTTTCGTGTTCTGTATTTTTTTAAATATGTTATGTTCTCCT